GTTTGGAATTAATTGTTATAACCGTGTCTTTCATGATTTTTATATATGTTATATTGTTGTGTTTTTATTCATGTAAGCCGCCCTGAGTAGACATTGTCTAGAAGGGAGAGGCAAAAATTAAACAAACAAATAAATAAAGATCACTCTGTGATGGAGTGAGAATGCATTTCTCCAGGTTGATCTTTAGACTGAAATTGTGAAGGAAGGAGATGGTAAGGTGGACATCTCTTTCTGCTTGGATGAGGAGGTGCGAAACAATGATACATCAACGATTGATACCCCTTGTAGCCTGAGTTATGGGGCCATGCATTTTGTGAACACGCGGGGTGCTGTGGAGAGGTCAAAGGGAAGCTTCTTGAATTGGTAAGCCTGGGCATCGAGATGAAAGCAGAGGAAGGGTCAGGTGGATAGAGATGGGGAAGTAGGCATCCTTTAAATCGAAAACTGCAAACCAGTTCTTGCTGTGAAGTAGAGGGAGAATTGATTCCAAGAGAATTGATTCCAAGGTGATCATGTGGAATCTGGAGGTGGTGATGAAAGAATTGACATCTCACAGATCTAGAAAGGGATGACGGCCCCCAGACTTTTTGGATGGTGAAGTAGTGAGACAAGAAGCTGTGGGTTGCTTACACTGGTGTGATGGGTTCAATGGGACCTTTCAGTAACAAATTCTTTATTTCTTCCTTCAGGGCTGGAGAGGAGGCGGTTATCCTCTGGCAAGCCAGGGGCTATGGTGTAATTCTATGCAACAGCATGATTCCACGATGGAGAGTACCCACTTGTCAGTGGTGGTAGTCTTCTAGGCAGGTAAGCAGTAATAGAGGGTGAGGTGAGTGGTGGTGGAGAGGCAATGGTATAACAATCTCAGCTAGCTTGAGGTCAAACTTGGTGCATTGGTTTCAGATCGTGATGTTTGTTTCTTGTTTGAGGTAAAATTTTTGACAATGGGGTTGTTGTTTGTAGTAGGGGGTGAAGGCAGATGGCCTACAGGTATATGTCACATACTTGGTGGGGTAACTGCCCAACTACCTCCTCCATTGCTGGCATTGATGCCTCTGCTGATATGAAGGGTAAACTCCCCAATATTTGGCTGTTGTGCAGTTCTTTTGGACATCAGTTTCTGCATTAAAAAGGCCTGCTCTGTTGAAAGGGAAATCTTTGATTTGGGGAAAAGCATCCTCAGAGAGCCCTGAAATGGGGGAGTCAGGAAAACCAGTGGAGGGCAACTGATGTGGACATCAACTTTGAGGTTGAATCTGCCGCGTATCGAGCTGTTAACATAGACTTAGCTAGGGACCTTGTAAGAAGGTTTGGGCAAGCACTCTTGTCCTCTAGCAAGGAGGCTATAAGGGAGGTCATCTTATCCCTGAGGAAGTGGTGGTACACCCCCATGTTTCCATGATAATTAGCAAGCTTCACAATAATAGCTGCTGAGTAGAGCCATCAACCCATGGTCTCTATACAATTACTACTCCTATTTGCTGAGGTAAGGGTATATGGCTGGCATTGGTGGGATTCAGAGGCTTCAATAAATATGGAGTTGGGAGCTGGTTGTCTCAGTAGAAAACCAGCATCAGGATTGTGTATCTTATAAAGATTATCCACCCTACATGTACTGTTGTCTGAGGATGCAGACTTTGTCCATGGACGCTTAGCCATCTCAAGCAGGGATGGCAACATGCCAGTCTGGACAGGTGTGGCGGTTTCCTTGGTAATAGGATTGCAAAGGTGGTCAGTCAGTGCCATGGAAGGGCGGTGTAACTTGAGTTCAAGAGATTTTGCCATGCATACCATCAATTAGGCATATGTGAGAAAGTCTTCAGCTGGAGAAGGTGAATTGGGTTGGACTTGGGTGAAATCAGGAGAGCTGATGGTGTCTGAGGCTGCAACCCAGGCTCAGAGGGTACAGGGTCTCCAGAGGACACGACCGATTGGTTGAAGTCAAACTTATATTCCAGGTTCAGATGGACTTGAGGCCGAGGGTTATCTAGCTCTCATCTAAGGCATCGACTGGCAGCAGCCGGTATTGGCAAGTAGTGGTGGTGATTTGCAGCAGACTGATAGATAGGCCATCTGGGGTCTAGAGGAGTCTTGGGATGTTGGGCGTAGGATATCAAGGCCTCTCAATACCAAGGGTTTAGGGAGGACTGTTGATGTTGACAGTCCAGTTGACTCCAAGGAGGGGCATCTGGTCCACACTTGAGGACCATGGAATGTACTGACGAGAAGGCCAGTGACCATCTTGGATAGGATGCCACTGAGGGGGTTTGCTGTGGAAAACACAGGGCTGCTGAAACCGCAAAGCCTATAAATATTGAGGGGTCTACTGAAGGGTGGTGGCAAGGCCTCTTTGGGGCCAGTGAGTGGTCTGGCTCCATGGAAGGCACTGTACACCTGGTCTGCTGGAGATGTCTGTGTCTCCCAGTGGATAGCTAGTTTCTGGGCATTGGATGCTCTGAGGATGCTGAGATATAATGCTGGGTTGGTGGCAGGTAGCAACGAACAGGTGCTCCCATGCAGCAAGGCATGGAGTAGAAGTGTGCCTCGCAAGGCTCATAGTGATGAGGAGAGTGCTGAGCATGCCCTGCACAAGGTGGTGGTTGGGGAACTGGAGGCAGCCAAGATCAATGGTAGCTCTGCTCAGGGGCATTGACAGTGCCATGCATTGGGAGCTGGTGCATCCCTGTGGGGATCTCTGAATTAACTGAGGCAACGTCCGAGGCCGCACTATGTAGGGACTACCTATACGGTTGAGAAGGGCTGGATGGTAGTGACACAACCACCAATGAGATGAGTCAGGGGATTGGTTGGAAGTGGAGAAGGCTGGCGGGCTGGAGGCAGTTCATCTTCTGACACTGAGTCAACACATACAAGGTCATTGTTCTCTGTGTGTTGTGGAGGTGGCAGGGCTGGTGGTGAATGGGGTTTGCTGTCCTTCGACTTCAGTTTTGATTTCGGCTTCTTTGGGGCCTGTGGGCTGGCAGTAGTCTCGTCTACTGAAGCCTTCTACTTTTTTGAGGCTGAGGGCTTCAGAATTGAAGCCTTTGAGCCCGACATTGAGGGTTTCAAACTCAATGTCAAAGGTTTCAATTTTGGGCCTGTGCGGGCGGGCTGTCACCATTGAAGGCTGGGAGTCTTCTTAGTCAGAGGTGGCAATGACGGTTCATCCATGGCTGTTGATTTGCAGACTGGCTGGGAGATACGGTCAATGGTTTGAAGAGACTGGTCCCAGAGATGGCGTTTTAGCCTGAAAAGATGGCTGTGGAGAATGTCTCTCTTGAAATTCCTGCAATAGATGCAGGAAAGGGTTTGATGGCCTCTTCCAAACAGAAAAGGCACTTAGCGTGTCTGTCTAACAGGGGCGTCCTGTTTCCACAGGCTCTGCAATGTTTGAATGGGCCAGTTTAGGCCATTAATGGGGGGACAGCAGATGAAGCAAGCAAAGGAAAGGAGGGGCTAAAATGGAGAACAATCAGTAAAATATAAACGTAATACTATAAAAAGTCTGTAATTTTGTTGTTTTTGTTTTAGGATCGCAAGAGGTGATGGAAATAACTCACAAAATGAGGCTTTATGAGCTTACAAAATGAGGCTCATAAAGCAGTACAGTGGTGCCCCACTTGACAATTACCTTGACGATGTTTGTATGGGGAAAATCCACTTGACGACGATTGGTTCCCTGCTTCGCGATCCGATTTTTCAATAAATGATGATCTAAAACCCGCTTGATGACGATCGGTTCCCTGCTTCACGATCCGATTTTTCACTAAACGACGATCTAAAAAAAGATGATCAGCGGCTCTCAAAATGGCTCCCCGCTGTTTTGCTGACCTCATTTCGCAAGACATGGAGCGGAAAATGGCCACCGTATGGAGGATTTTCGCTGCACGAGCAGGTATTTCCCTCATTGGAACGCACTGACCGGTTTTCAATGCATTCCAATGGTTTTTTTCGCTTGACGCCGATTTAGCTGTACAGTGATTTTGTTGGAACAGATTATTGTCGTCAAGCGGGGCACCACTGTAGAAGAAAGGAACTGAGGGGAGATCCTTGGCACTGAGGGGGGACTGGGCCTACACTCATATATCTTTTTCTGCATGTAGAAACTCTAGAACAGTGACGGTGAACCTTTTTGGGCCCAAATGCCCAAACTGGGGGGGGGGAACCAACCCAGTGGGCGGCGGCGGCAACGGAAGTGGAGGTGGAAGGGGGAATCCCGGGCACAGAGGTGCCTCGAGACCCCACTCAGAATCCTGGCCTGCCGCTCGTCGGGGTGCCAGCACAGTGGCTGCAGCTGCCTTCTCAGGTTTGGCTGCGGGGGGGGGGAGGAGAGGGGAGTAGCGATCTGACGACTTATGGCTCGCATGCCCGCATAGAGGGCTCTATGTGCTAGCTGTGGCACATGTGCCATAGGTTCACCATCACTGCTCTAGAATATTCCAGCGAGGCTCCATGCATGTGCGGAACTTCCACCAATGTGACTTCACGGAGGTCACAAAGAAGAATTTTTAATATACTTTCCTGCTTTCCTTTTGCATTTGGTGATGACTGCAATTCCTTAAAGAATCTACACCTAATACAATTATAATAAGGTGAAATGGATTAGCAATTTGTGCAGCAGATGATCGGAAATCCAGTATTGGCATGTTTGTCACCTCCTCTAATATCATGCTGTTTTATATCAATGAGTATGGCCATCATGCTGAAAGACAAAGAACAAACCAGCAACAAATCATATTGCAGCCTGACAGTGCAATCCTATACATATGTACTCAGAAGCAAATCCCATTGAGTTCAAAGGGATTTGCAGCCAGGTGTGTAAGTACAGGATTGCAGCCCAAGTATATCATGAAAAAGGGCTGCTGTTGGCATTACAGGTTTAAGGCAGAATTCTAAAAGGCATGGTAATAAAGAGCCTCTACTGATCTGTTTCTGGTATCAGCAGTTCTCATACCACACAAAAGACTTAGAACAGGGCATGCTCTTTCACAGAATCATACCTCAATGTCATCTTCTTCATCAGTCTACCAGAAGAGAGAGGAGAGAAGGTAGGAAAAGGACAGAAAATATCATTTAAGAAATACTGTCAAAACATAAGTCAAGAAGAATAAATGTGGGGCTGTTTAAGTTCCAAAATGGTGAATGGATTGCATACAGGGGAACTGCAAACAGGGTCCTGCCCCAATCAGACTACTATTTCAATTGGATACGTTTACAGTATGTTATTCTTTCTTATGTTGATATTGTGTGGCACATGCGCACAAACACACACATCAGTACTAAAACTTACATACGTCTCTTTCCAAAGCATGAAATATTTTGGCATGATCAGCACTAGAGGTATGTGAGAAGTATGTGGGAAAAAGCTAAGTTACACCCTCTATATACTTTTAACAACCATATTAGTAGGACTGGGTACAGAGATTTGATGAGAGTAGCTTTGGCCACATGGATGCCACATAACTCTGCCTGCTTTCTGCACTCTAGAAAACTGCAACTTTTTCCTCTGTTCCTTTTACTACCTACTGTCATGCTTTTTTGAATATCACTCTAGCTGACACCACAAAGGAAAGAAGCACCACCCCCTTGGTTCAACGATTCAGGCACCAAGGTAGTACAATCACCTCACATATGCGTTATCACCTTCTACTTTGTAAATGAGAATTGCTCATTTGAAAGGGACCCCCAAAGACAATGATGCTCCTACATACAAAGTTCCCACGGCTGATGCTTTCGAGTTTAGCTTTCTCTCTGAAATAATATTTTTTTCTAAAATAAATGGCAATTTCAGTGAACGACTGTTTACATGGTACAGTCATGTGGAAGAAATGGTTGAATATAGGCAAGACATCCTGCCAGAGGTCCGTTCACATCATGCAGACTGTGTGAAGAGTTCAAGCCTCAGGTTTCACTAAACAGTGGCTGTACAGCCACTGTTTTCAATACAGCTGTGAAGCTCTACGATGCCCATGAGGAAGAGGGAATGTGAGAAAAAAGAGTGCTCAGTCCTCAGTGAGCTTTCCGGGATGGCAGAATTACCCCCTTTTGGTTGCTGAACCAAACAGGTGATAATGTTTCTCACTCCCTCTGCATTCTCCATCAGGGGAAGTGGTGCAAAGATCTGGTATTTTCCCTCATGAGAAGAAAAGTGACTGGATTTTTTTTTATTGGAAAAGGAGCACAAGAGGAAAGCACCACTTGCCTGCTCTGCTGCTATAGGAAGATACTTCCACACAAGACAGAAAAACATAAGCCGTGAAACATTTCACATGTCTATAATATCAACTCTGATCTGGCCATCAGATTTATTAACTGAGCTGGTTGTTGCCTTGAACCCAGTCATTAACAAGCTCTTGTTCAAATGTTATTTTACCAAAGTTAAGCCATTTTTCTTCCAGGACATGAACCATGAGACATGAATGTGTTGCCTCATTTGTTTTGTCTTTCATAGTGTTTGGAGCACACTTGATGTAAAAAAAGATTAGCTGAGGGAGGGATGAACAACAGCATGCTAGCATTGCTTTTTAAGGGTATGCTTTGTTCATGAGGGAGCTGTTTGTTTTGCTTTGGGCCTAACGACACTGAAGGACAGCCAGTCCTTCTGCAATGGAACTTCTGTAGGTATGCGCCGTTTGCTTATTCGCATTATAGTATGCCTTTTCATTGCCAGTAAAAATATATCCCTCCACAAAACTCTATTGCATATTTAATCTCCTAGCACTATTGACTGCCAGAAAACTCAAATCAGGGACATATTTGGGCTTTTAGTTATTGGTACCTTACATCAACTAATTAAAAAAAAAGCATGCAGGTCTGCTCCATGGTTAGACATTTGGGTTTTTGAATGGCCCCCTGCTATATATTGAGTAAATTGTGTGATAAAAAAGTATGTCAAGGAAGGATGTTTTACAGTCCAAAATTGGGTTGTAGCAAGATTGAATATAGTACTGCAGAAGTAACCATCATTTTCACGATCATCTATATTGCTCATCAGAGTGTCCAAAGCACTTTTTATACCATCTTCTTTCATTTCTGAAAGGGATATCTAAAAACTTAGCTACTTTGGAATGAACTGAATGAGTGAAGATTGTTATTGTTGATATACATGTCTAAACATTCACTTTATTGTTATTAAACTATAGGTTAGCCCTGAAAGAGATATAAAACTAAAATACAAAAACAAATCATGTAGTGTTTACAAGCGATACTAAGCAGACAAATTCAAATTGCAGTTGAGAGTAAATTTCTAATCTGATCACCGCAGTGATTTAATTATCTGTTTTCTCATTATACAAGCCATTGCACAGAATTTCGCAATCTTACATTCAATTTCACTCGAGGAATCAGGGAAGAGAAAAGAGATATGAAATGTATTGGGTCTACTTGGATTTATTTATTTATTTATTTATTTATTTATTTATTTAATATTCCGCCTATCTGGTCAGATGAGGACCACTCTAGGCGGCTAACAACATAAAATAATACAATACATATAAATATAAAACAATTTTTACATAACAAAAACATAGAGCAAGATAGAAGAGACAATAGGAAAGGGAAGAAAAGGGCGTCAGGAATTATCTGATGGGAAGGCCTGCCGAAACATCCATGTTTTTAATTGATTCTTAAAGATACCCAGCGGGGGAGCCACGCGAATCTCAGGAGGTAGATTGTTACAGAGGCGAGGAGCCAATTTCTTGTCCTTTCCTTCCGGGCCTCCCTCGGCATTAGGCTCCTCAGCCTCACCTCCTGGCTCGCACGAGTGACATGGGTAGATCTTGGTGGGAGTAGGCGTTCCGCCAAGTATCGAGGCCCTAAACTGGATAATGTTTTAAAACTGGAGAAATAAGTAGATTGTGCAAATCTTCATAAAATGTCCAATTCTGCAATACAGCAGAAGATGTTCTACAGTTTCCACCATACCAGACTGGCAAGGACAAAAACACTGACTGTAAGCGACATGTGAATATCTTCTTTCTAGAATGGCTGAAGGCAGAGCATTGAAATGGGTAAAGGTGGAAGCTCTCCAATATCTTGTAGGTTCTAAGTTGTAAAAGTAATTTTTGGGGATGAAGATCTTACTGTGACTATACCAAAGATCAAAGTCCTTTTCCACATATGTAGGAGTGTTTATGGAAGTGCTTCTGTCCAGGGCAGCCCATGGCACCCCCAGTTGTGCAATCAAAGGAAGACTGTTTGTGTGATGGGCAGACTATGAAACAGCTACTGCTCGTTCCATAACTACACAATTGAACAGGACAACAGGACTGATCTAAGAATTTAGATGCAGGACATTTGCAGTTTACAAACCATTTAAACAATGGATGCAAACTGTGGATTATTTATTTCCACACAAAGTATTTAAAGTGAAAGCATGTGCCTTAGAGAAAAATGAACAGTGGTCTGCAAAACAGCTGATCAATGTAACCATCTTATTACCTTTCCATACTAGAACTTGCATCTGCAGCTGTGTTTTTTTTAAAGTAGCTCCTATGCTAACCCAGTAGTAGGATTTATTCTGATATCTATTCATTACTTAGAAAAAGGTATACACCCAGGATGGTGAGCGAATAGGGTGATGGACTCAGGAGCCCTGGGTTTGAATCCTCACTCAGCTATAGAAACTTGTTGTGGGATGACACTGGTAAAACCACTCCCTAAATACCTCACTTACCCTATTATGGTTGCTATAAATCAGTTCTGACTTGATGGCATTTAACACACACAGCTGATTACAAGAGTCATGTATACTAGTGGTCCCCAACTGTGGGCCTCCAGATGTTCTCGGACTTCAACTCCCAGAAATCCTGGCCAGTAGAGGTGGTGGTGAAGGCTTCTGGGAGTTGTAGTCCAAGAACATCTGGCGGCCCAAGGTTGGGGACTACTGATGTATACCATTGATTTGGAGGGAGGTAATTCTCATGCCATGAATTTTTTAAACAGGCATGCAGGTGTTCTTCAGTAAAAGACCTTCAAACTCATCGCTTTCTGTAAGTTTCATAAGGATATATGCCAAAATACCTTTCTTGGTATGTTAACTACAGGTTCCCAATCACTTCTATTACTCAGCCCATACAGATGTGAGTCCCTTCCTTTTAGTTTAAGGCAGAAAGCATTCTTTCTCCCTACTGGTATCAAGACTGTAGCAGTTGGACTTTATAGGCTTTGGACTCTCCCTTTTTCTGGAGCCTCCTGCTTTTAATAAAAGAACATCAAATGCCATAGATGACTCATGCACTTCCAGCTGTACCACTGACCTTCCACCCACAGCACCCTGTGGAATGTCCCTTTTGAGGCTTTAGTTGGTAATTCTTGAGCAAGGGAAGACTGAAGCTCTCTAGGCTGAGGATTCAATAAGGAAAACCAGGATGAGGGTGGAAGGAACTTGACAGAGCATAGACTGGCCTGATTGGGTTCAGGCCATGCATTCGATGTCCAGAGAGCTAGACTGAAGATAAACTATGTCCTTGTATCTAGCTGGTTTCCCTCCACAATCTTGTCCATCACTTGAGTGGCGCACTCTTTCCAGCTGAGTTTATTCCCATCTCTTTCCTCTGTCTTCTCCTTTTTTACCTGATCCATCTCCTCTTCTTGTCTCTTTAACTTGCCTATGCCCAGCTATGCCCTCCTGTAGTGCAAATCCACCTCTTCCTTCAGCCTAACCAGTGATCAGTTGCTGACCTGTAAATGAGTTGCAGCCAGGCTCCATCAACCCCTGCAGATTGGATAAGGAGAACCTCCTGGTGGCATGTATGGGTTCAAGCTCTGTAAGTCCCAACACTCCCTGTCACATGTTTTGAAGAACAATCCCTCTGAGTTAAAACTATAATGGGGGACACAACTTTCATATCAAGAGATTCAGAGTGTAATCAGTTTTGTTTCACTCTGTACTACTACATTCTCCAAGCTTATTTCAATTGGTTTAGTTAAAAATAAATTGGCTGCAAAGGAAAGGAAGCTTGTACTGTACTCTTTGGGATTTTAGGACAAAGAGAGACTGTGTTCAAGGAAGCAGGAGCCAGCTTTGGATAGATATTCAAGACAAAGTTCTTGTCTTTTCAGACAGTAATAGCAATAATAGGATGTTCTTATAACTTGATGCATTTATATTGTGGCAGAATTACAAATGTACTACGATCAATACAGAAATATGTTTCATTTCTGGAGCCAAACACACATCTTAAAGGTAAAAAAACACACAACAATGTCACAAAGCTAAGTTCTTTTTCTTGGGAAAACAGGCCATTTGTTCATGATGGAATTAACCCTGTTTTTTCTTTAGAAAAAAAATGCTACACAAGTCTTTCCTTGAAAGTGAATGAATAAATCAATATTGGGCATAGTTCTCTTTCCCGTTAGAAGGTAAAGATACGTACAGCAGTATTATCAAAGCTTGTGCATTGTACCATAGCCATTTTCTTCCATGTTTGATCTTATGCACTCTTTTGTTTCAATTTAAAAAAGGCCAAGTATTGTGCATTAAAAATATAGATTGACATTTTTTTCATCATGTCAAAATTTCTAGTATCTGAAAAACCAGTCTAAAGAAACATATACAAATGAGACAAAAGTCTTAAATCTATACCTTTGGATTCATTATGCTAGTGTGAGTTTTTAATTTTTTGTGGCAATTCATCTCAGTAATAAATGTATGGCTATCCATGCCAAAGTTCAGATGAAGGTAGTTCTGCATGTGACAAAGCATTGACATCTAATTAAGTCTGCAGAAGTTGGGTTTTCAAGACAGCTGAAAATTTTTATTAAGTTCTGGCACTCCTTTAAACTTCATTTGGATCAAGTGAAACTGTGTTCAAAAGGTTTAGAAACTTATGGGATTTTTAAAGTCACTTGACAGAAAGAAGTAACATTTTATAAAAGCAAGCTGTAAATTCCCTACAATCAAATTAATTGTTTTTTCATTAAGTAACATTCAATCTGTTTCAAAGTTCATAATTCTGACTGAAAGTTTCACAAAGTAATCTCATATTATTTTCTATGCCACAATCTAAGGCTAAAAACAGAGATTAATTTGTAATAATTAAAACTGCAAATTAAACCTCTGGTGCTACATAAACCAAAGAGGTCAGTCATTTAAAACAGTGGTCCCCACCCTTTTTTGACACCACGGATCAGTTGGGGGGGGGTACAGGGTCCATATGTGTGTGGGGCAGGACACACCCCTCACTCATGCTCATGTGCGAAGGGGCAGCACTTGCTCGTGTGGGCACGCGGGCACTTGTGTGCATAAGGGGGGGCGCTCGCGTGACACACACATGCGTGAAGGGGGCTTCATGAAATGCAGTTCTGCTTGACTTAGGTGACTTTAGAATAGTATTGTATCACTAAAAAGATTCATATGTTCATTATATAAGTGAAACATTTTCCTACCATCACAATCAATGCAAGATTTTGTTCCCTACCACAGAATTGCATCTCTACATGTGGAACATTTCCATTCATGTTAAAAAGAGATGCAGATGTTTATTGTCTTATAAAACAATTTTCTTGCCTACCATGATGGCCCTTATAGTGGTCACGCGTGCAGTCCAACACGTGGCCTCTGTGTCTGAGCAGAGCTATGTCTGGAACTTTCTTTCTAGAACTATGCAATTACAGTAAGGCCACCATATCTGTGGGACCGATATTCATGGTTTGCTGCAGGCCTGTATACAACATACAAAGGATCTCCATTGTGCCTTTGTCCTGTCCCCTTGTATGCTTTATATAGGGTTCCTTCACCTCTATGGTTTCAGGCATCTATGGTAGATTGTGAAACTTCTCCCCTGCAGACACAGGGGTCCAACTGTGTTTTTATAGGGAATCAATCATCCATCTCAAAGAATCCACAGAACTTCAGAGATCCTTCCTTTCCTCTCAGTTCAAAATAGATGTAGTGAACCATAGCTATATCAGATCACACACTGAACAAGACATAGAGTGGCACCGAAGTTGAGCTGTATGTCCCCATGGATGACCTACTGAAGTACTAAAGAAACACGAGACAAGCCAATTTCTATTATTTGTTGTCTCTAAACAATTCTAGATAAGTGGGAATAGCAAGTTCAATTAACCTGGAGGTGGGGAAGGTTAATCAGGGAACTGTGATTACAGTTTTTAGGAAAAAACCATCCACCTATGCCTAAATATTTAGGCTCCTACCATCCACCTATGCCTAAATATTTAGGCTGCAATACTGGACAAACATGGAAGGCTGTAACCAGAGAGCAGATTGACAAAGGTCCCGTATGAAGACTCCCTGAGAAAAGCCATGAAAAAAATACAACAGTCAACGTGCCATGTGCACATGCTGCAGCAGGAACTGAAAATTCATCTAGTTTATAGCACTGCAGAATAGACACCTGAAATCTAGATGGGTGGAGAATAGAGATAGGGGTATTCTTATTTGTATACGAATACCTCCGCACGGGTGGCGATAATAAGGGTCCACCCTCATGGGACCAGATGGTCCACTCACAATTCTGCCACTGCCATGACCTCTGTGAGCCACTCTTCGACCTGGCAGAGAGGCTTGCCGTCTTGCCTCCTCCCAGGAGTGGCGAGCTGATTGTGATCTCCAGAGCCATTGGAAGGCTCTACAGAAGTTGCGGTAGTGGTGGAATTGTGAGTGGACAGTCCGGCCCTATGGGGCTGGACCCTCGTTATCGCCACCTCTGTGGGGGGTATTCATATTCGTATACAAATACACCCCCCATCTCTAGTGAAGACCAGGAAGCCTTTCTTGGGGCCTTTACAACAGAGAAAGACCTAAAGATCCACCTGAATCTTATAATTCCATCTAAATAAGCAAAAGACTGGCAGATACCCAAAATACTTAAGGACACATTCCATAGGGTGGCAGCCACCACTGGAAAGACAGGGTTCTGGGTCATAGAGGGATAGAAAAAGTAAAGAATTGTGCTGAATGAGTTTAAAGCCTAGAAATAAATAACATACTTCGGACACTGTTATTTCTATAAACCTTTAGTAAATGAGTTCAAGGTAAGTGGTGTAGAGCTTAATACCAGAGGGTTGGCTATGTGGACGTTGTTATTAGGGCCTGAATAAAGGTTCTAATATACAAACACATGTGGCAACAAAAGTTTGTGGCAGTGAAAGAGGAAGAGAGGAAGATTATTAAAGAAGGCATGTTTAAGTCTGTTTGTTATTGAAAGAGACCAGTAGTTAAATATTCAAATGAGAAGACAAAGGCAATTTTGACATCAATATATGAAAGAGAGGTAGGGCATATGACTCTGCTATAGTCATGAGCTACTTCTATAAACCAGTGGTGATACTAATGTGATTAATGGTATTCAGAGTTCTACTTAGCCATGGTATTAAAAATGGTTTGAGTCTGATTAGCAAACCCTTGTTAGCTCTAATTGCAGTTTATGTTGGTGGTATGATATACTCACCGAGGAAAGGCAGAGATAAAACATCTATGAAAGAAGTGAGGTGAAGGGTTCTTGAAAATACATGACCCCATGGCTTGATATAGTTGGATGTGGATATTTAATCACATGATCCACATACACACCACTCTGGGGTATACACAGGTACGGATCCATAAAGAGGATCTATTTATGCTCATGAAGCTCTGACTCCAGCATTGAATAAGCAATTTTCATTGAATAAGCAATTTTGGACCCTACCACTTGAAGTTCATATGCACTGCAGCACAATGTTACGTATGTTCTTGGTTTTACAAAGTTAGTTGGAACAGTGGATCTATAATACATTACTCACTGGCAACAAACCTTTATCTGGTTTTGCAGAATAAAATTGAACTTGCCACTTACATCTGTGATCATTTTCCCTCTGGTTTTATTTCTCTCTCTGTGGTTGGCTCGCTTCTGTTTCTGCTGTAAAACCCGTTCCCTGGTGGTGCGATACTCCAGAGCAAATTCACTAATAATTTTGCAGAATTTATTGATGTTGACTTCACGAATTGCATAAGGAGGGTAACCCATAAATAACAAGAAGGAGTGGAACCTGGAAAAACAAAAGCAATTATCTTTACCAATTTCTTTCAAATAAATGAAGGCTCATTAACCCCTCTAGGGCTCCTTCTGTTTTGGTGTTTTCAGGAAATATTTCATGACAGTGTTTGGATCCAAGGAAAGTACAAGTCTTAAGTGAAACAGTGGCTGAAATCCTGTTACTTAGCACAGTAAGTCACAACTATCAATGGAAGAACTGACTCACAAAATCCCCAGTGGGCCTGCTTACTGTACTAAGCCAGCCAGTGTTTGTCATCAGGATATAGATGGCCAGTGAAGCATAATCTGTTTTTGAAATACGAACTCATATTCTTTTTAGCATGGATTCCTTTGTCATTGTTTCTAGAGCTTATAATTAAAAACAGAATTACAATAAAAGGAAGATCCATAATGAACTCTTCCACATCAATGTTTACGTGACAATGCATAAAAGGTAAAATGATTAACAAGATCATGTCCGCCTATTAATAAAGCAACAAATGAAAAATACTGATGTGGGATACTGTGTAATGAAAGAGAGGTTACCTACCTGTAACCATGGTTCTTCTAGTGGTCCTCTATGAATGCATACAATTGGGTTTGTTCTGCGCCTGCACAGGACGTCTCGGAAGTTTCTAGAGCTTAAAGACATGTGAGCAGTAGGACGTTCCCCCGTGGAGCGCATGCTCTGTCCTCCCAAAGTCCCCTCAGTTTCTGTAAGAATCCGTCGCTGTCAAAGGCTTATATAAAGATAATGTGACGGATGGAGGGGAGGATGGGTGGGATGTGTGGATTCACAGAGGACCACTAGAAGAACCATGGTTACAGGTAGGTAACCTCTCTTTCTTCTTTGTGGCCTCTGTGAATGCACACAATTGGGTGACTGACATGCTCACTTACCGGATGGTGGGACGTCACTGTAGAAGAGATGCTTGATGTAAGACACTCTTTGGCCTTCTACATTGGTAGAACAAAGTTATTCAGGAAGTCTCCAAGGCTTTTCTTATGTTTTCAAGGCCCTCATAAGGGTGCCCCAGCTTCACCTCAAACCATTTCTCGCTGGATTGTTCAAACTATATCATTGGCCTATGAACTCTCAGGCAAGACACCTCCTGAACATTTAAAAGCTCACTCTACCAGAGTGCTGTCAAACGTTACTACTTTCCACCATGGAACAGAGCTTCTGCACATCTGCAGTGCAGTTACATGGTCTAATCCATCAACCTTTGTGAGGCACTATTGCCTTGATGTCCAAGCAAAGAATGATGCTGCTTTTGGCAAAGTGGTCTTGACATCTCTTCTACAGTGACACAGCTGCAATGTAAACCTTCAAGGTAGAATGAGATAGCTCGAGATGAAAGAGATGGGGGATAAAGGTAAGTAGGGTCTTCAAAGAAATTGGTGTTGCAGGTAAGTCTTGAGAATGAGCAAAAGAGAGGAAAGATTTCCATTTATTAATTTTAGGGTCGATGCTTTCAAGCTCGGTCTAGTATGTTTCGTATGGCGGGAGTATCCTCCAAGCTGTTAGGTTCAAAGAGTGTATGTCGGGGTGGTAAATCATCCCGTTGTCTTGGGTCAGGAGATTGGGGATCGACAGGAGGTGGAACACGTCGTTCGATATCGATCTCTGGTGGGTGAACCACAGTTGACGTGGCCACCATGGGGCGAGGAGGGTGGCATTTCAGTGGAACTGTTGAAGTCAAATGACAGTTCATTGTATGAGTGGAATTGGAGGGAATAGGTAAAATAGTCCTCTGACCCAGTCTTTCATAAAGGCATCTCCGAGTGAGTTCATATTGACACCAGCTCGGGAGCAATACTGTTGGCTCTTGGTGTTAATCTTGGAGGCAAGAGATCGATGGACGGAACACCCCATCGGTGACAGAGGAGGTAGAAAACGTCCTTGTTCAGTGCCCATTCGTGTGTCTTTGTGGTAAGACGACTGAGATGGTCTGCAAGACGGTTGTCGTCTGTGGCGATGTGGACAGCTACTGGGAAAATGTGGTGTAGGTAGCACCATTCCCAAAGTTCGTCCGCCAGATACAGGAGCGAAAGGGAGTAGGTACCTCCCTGTTTGTTTATGTAGTACAGCGCTGTAGTGTTGTCTGTAGCTAATTGTACCACTCATCCTGCAATGAGAGGTAAGAAGGCATGGAAGGCCCTGATGACTGCTAAGAGTTCAAGATGGTTG